AGTGTTGTATGGATAACCTTGGAGAGTTATGTGGGTCCTTTAAGGCTCCCCACAGGCTGAAAGGGATGGTTGAGAGCTGTTTACTGTATTAATTTAGCCCTGACGCCTGGCAGACTGCGAGATTCGACCGGTACGGGACTCCTCCTGCGATCAGGTCCACCGGTTACACTGACCCACACACGCTTCGGAGTCTTCACGTGAAATGGAAAATGTTCCTTTTGGTTACAGAAGGCCTTGAAACAGTTCTCTATAAAGACCCGCTTGATATATTTATGTACACAGATGCTGTAAGGAGCCTGTCAGAAGCGTTGAAGACGTTAGGGTTGGATCAGGGTCACATACCTGTACAGTACATGACTCTTAATAGCTTTTAGTTTGCCCACTGAAGGTTTAAACAGGCTGTATCTCCAGTAACCCCTTCCCAGGTATTGGAAAGTAGTGTTGCTCAAATAAAGACAACATTTACTGTTCCAGGATTTATTTACTTGAAAATTTCCACATCTGACCTGCAATCCACTGGGTGCGATGCAATTTGTATCCAGCTGTGATGATATTCGATATTTACAATAAATACGTTAGTTGGTTTGGGGTTTAGGAATTAGGATGGGGACACCAAGCTCAAGAACTCAAAAAGAAGGAAAGACTGAAGGAAGTGAAGAATTACAGGGTGCAAAAACGAACCCCCAACACACACACACCAACCCAGTCAAAGGTATGACCTAGAACTGCACAGACTAACATAAAACACACCAACACCCTGAAGCTGAGTTCAGAAACAGGAAACCATGTGACCCACTAACGTCAAGCCGCTGAGCTAAACGTTGTAGCCAAACTGCAAGCTTAAAACATAAAAACACCAGTCTGTCCCCATAAACTGCAGAGCCTTGGAAAACACAACCAGGCAGCAAAACTGGCCCGGCCTTTATCCCGCCACGCTTTGAAAGTAAACAGCGCTTGCTGTTCAGACACAGAGCCGTCTCATGACTGTCCTACTGTTCGACTTGTTTCCAGTCAGTTCTTTATTGCAAGAAAAATAAAATGACACAGCTCTGTTTCACAAGTTGGCAGTTATATTGTCTTTTTTTTTTCTGGCACTCCCGGCTGAGAGGATTCAAGGCACCTCTGTAATTGTGGTTTCTGCGTTAACTGCAGCTCAAACAGAGAGGCCTTTGAGGAAACAAACACACATTCAGTGCTCCTTGCTCGCACCCTGGAATCCCTGTTTAACCCAAGACTTGCACCTGAGCCAGCTTTCATACAAGCAGTGTAAGGTTCAGTTTATCAGGATATTTTGTCCAAGAGCTATCATGTCTCCTTTTCTTATTGAATGTAAAAATTAATGTGAACATCAAAGGCATGCCCGTATGATGTTAACAGTGGTACACCAGAGTAAAAGCATAGAAAAGTCCAGTGAACCACATTGAAATCGCAGTCCATGCATGGTTATGCATTAAGAGTTATGGCATAGAACTTTAGGAAAGCATGGCCAAGGAAACATTGTCAATGTTGTCTGTCTCCGTACAGGTGATCCCCTAGTTTAGCTCCAAGAATTTTTTTTTAACCTTACATGTAATACAAGTCACACTTATTGGTCTGTAATTACATGGTGCGGTTTTATATTTACAGTATTTGACTGAAAATCTTCTTTAGAGCAAACTATATTTCAGCCCATTTATACATTTATATGGCTGCAGTACCTCGCTCAGGGGTGCAACAGCAGGGTCTCCCCTGGAATTTGAACAAACATCCTTCTGGTCTAGAACCCTGCACGCCAGTGCCCTACTCCTGTCCTGTCACTGTTTGTGTGAGCACCATTTGTATGGAAATACATTTCGATAACAATTCTCCAGTTCGCTTCTTTAGCAGTTGTTGCAAGAGCTGTGTTAAGGACTCTTATTTCTGAGTAGCATCTCGTTTCGCCATCAGGCCCTGGAAATTTATTTTCACTGACCTGCAACTCTTCTGCCTTCTTCTTTTATGTGAATGGCATTGAATACAGAACGTATTCCTTCTGTTGCCTGAGGCGTGTGGTCGAGTTCTTCCTCAGTGAACACCTGACTGAGAAATTAATTTAATACGTCAGTCATTTCCCTCTCATTGTCTAGAAGTTTCCCAAAATCATGCGGTATGTTTTTTTTTTATAGTTGTAGGGCTGAAAGAAACTTTATTTATTTTAGCCTCCACTGCAGTATTCCTTTCCATCTCTCTCTGGCTTTTTACATTTTCTTTCTACCTGCATTTGAAATGTAATGTTCTCCTAATTTAACTGGATCTTTTACCTTTAATTTGCCCTAACTGGTTTGTGGAAGATTTTTCAATACCATTCTATTTGTTTTTTATTTATTTAATCTTGGGATAGTGAAAGGAGCTTGAAAACTTAATTCATCTTAATTACCAACCTAGGAAAAAAATGAAACTAAATTAGCACATCAGACGTTTCATATTCTGGTTTTCCAAATATAGAAGAAAAAAGTTTCAATGCCTACACAGAAGATATTTCTTGATTGCTGAATTTTAGTTTATTTTCTCCAAAAGCAGTCGAATCAGATGCTTTTGGAAATCATAAAAAAGTGATTGGAAAGTGGGATCACAAACACCACAACCAGACACAGACACTTTTGAACTTCCGTATTGTACTGAAGATATACAGGCCATCTACAGTATATCATGGTGTGCCCAGTTACGGTTATACATGACTTTGACAAGGTGAACTTCAATTCGTTTGTTGAGGGAATGTTTTTCCACAAATCCTTCTCTCCATACGGCAGACGGATCAGCATCTCTCTTCAGACAAAGAATCCTGAATCATTGTTCAGACCCCATTTTGAGCAGCAACGTCTACAAGATAGTAACACGTCTCTTCTGTCAGCGAGTGAGGTCTCTTTATCTTAAACTCTTGGAGCTTCATTTAATTTTAACTCTGAAAGAAACAAGGAATAATTTAGGACACTAAATGAACATTTGGTACATCACAGGCGTTGGATATGAGCACTGCCTCAAATTACTACCTCAGATATCACCCCAGGAACTGAACCTTGGGTCTTAGAGACAGCCATGCTAACCATTACAACAGCGTTCTTTTAGCTCCATTTACCTATTACTCAGCCATATTTCTATTTGATCAATTAGTTATTAATTAGGCTCCCTAATTGGTTTACATTTACAATCAAGTCTCCACTCTCGAAGTGTGAGTCTCAGCGTGTTCAGTGAGAACAGCTCACCTGTGTCATCTCTCGGTTACAATAATATAATATATAAATTACAACACAGAGGTACATTCAAAACTTTGCCTTGCGTTATTTTATCCATCACAAACTGGTCATCGCCAGCTAGCGGGCTGATTTATTAAAGCATACCCACACAGAACCCAGCAAATTTCAAAACGCATGACATATGTGAATGATAATCGGTTTTAGAAAAAGTGTGAATCGTGCAATCCACTTTCAGATAAAATAAAGTTGACTTATGTCTTAAGTCCCTTCTCCACATGGTGGGCAGCCAGTGCCGTTTTGATTTTCGGGTACACAATGAAGTTCCCCGAGAAACCTCGGCCGGGAAAGAATGGTTCCGTCCTACGTGGCAGAGACGCTTTCGGAGAAAGTCTACGGGACATGAACGGAATGATAATTAAATTTGCCATCTAATTAATTAAAACAAAACCCCAGAAAAGAAGCTCTTCAACGTCACAAAAGAATTCAGAAAGAATCTAAAATGTGAGTACACCGACCAGGTTATAAGTTTTGTTAGCAATAACGTTTTAGTTGTTTTTTTTTCCCAGTTCTTAAGAAGAGCGACTTTTTTTTCCCCCCAAGTAGTTTTGCTGCAATCCGGTGTGATTTTTGTCAGATAACGGACAGGTGCGGTCTTGCTGAAGGTGAGGTTTTTTTTTTGAACCACTACGCCTTCTTGGCCTTATATTTGTTTCAGAGACGAGGTGCAGTTGACCTCGTATGTAATACAACATGAACTTATCTGTGTATACGCGTGGATTATGTGTTAACAGTTTTTTTTTATTGCCTTTTAAGAAGGGAAGCATATTTTATTGATCCGAACGGCTTTATTGTAAACACGCAGAGATGGTAACAAGTACGGTTATGCTTTTAAAATCGTAGATCGAATTGACCCTTACGAGAAAATAAACTACAGCGCCTATTCAAATGTCCCACTTTTCGGTTATTTTCGCAAGGCGAATTGTCAAGCAAATATTCAGCCTGTCAGAACCGGCCGTGTTTATTACTATACTTTTTGTGTATTCCAGAGAACACGTTTTTTTTTTTTAAATATTGCAGTAGGTATTGTAAAGAAAACGCGATTGCCCTTTTCTGTGACTCGTTACTCGCTTGGTCTGATGGAAAGTTTGAGAGCAATTTGATCCTAACTTCTCTCCTCTTCACAGACAGATCATCGAAATGCGAAATCGGTTCGTTTTCGGCTGACGTCTCCAGTGTTTCAGGCTGGGGCCTTACAGGTAATGTCAAATTTAAAGACCGCGTTCCCCTGCCTATAAAACGGGGTTATTTTCTATTGTTTTCTGTTTTTTTTTTCCTTAAAGATAAAATTACACTTCTGTTATTTTTAAACAATGAAGATTTGATGTTACTAAGTGTTTCAGGGCAAAAAAAAAATAAAAATCCAAGCAAAACTGTAATCTTAATGATGGAGTACAAGTGGAGTGCGAGGAGAGAATCTGCACAACAGTCCATCCACCTAAACCTGTAGGAAAAAGAATGCCTTTGAGCAAAAAAACGTCCTAAAAATGCTCCAAAGGAATTCCATAAATACTTACACAAGATTCGAGATTGACCAAACACCAGTCAGATGACATCAATGGTGTTTGTTAGTGTGTGTACAGTATCGCAGTACATGCAGGTCACAAGAACGCACTCCTGTGGAAAACACTGGGCTCAAAGTGTTCACCTTTTAGTCTACAAAGACTCAGCTGTTTATGTTGATGCATCGTTTTCTTGTTCTAGACCATGTGGGGAAAACACCCATTCCTACAAACAGAATGTTAGGATCTGTAAAAAAAAAAAGTGCAGATATTAAATCATACGTACATTATGGATACATTCTACGGTGCTCGGTCCAGGGTACCAGGCTCCACCAGCATGGCTGAGCGGCTTGTTCCACACTCCCACCGCCCTCTGTGCAAGGAAGCACCCTGCTTTTGGTTTTAAATGTTTCGAAATGCACTGCCATGTGGTGCAGATGCACTTCCACGTTGAAGCTACTGAAGAGCTCCCCATGGATGACAAGCCCTTCAGGAATTGCCTGTGATGCAGGGGTTGTTAAACTAAGGGCTCTATTGATTAATTCCTGAAGGCAGGGAGCAGGCCGCTGTTTCAACGGCCTGCACTTTGCCCGTGCTTGCAGAGGCCCAGCCCTGAGAGGGGTCAGGCTTGCGGCTGTGCTGTGGTTCGGAGAGGGCTGATGTGGAAGGTGTACTTTGACAGCAGGGCGAAAGACTGTTCACTCTCCTTCGGGCCAGAGACTGTGAAGAAACCACGTAAGTCTGAGCGAATACCCCTGGTTTTCTCCTCCTGCATGCAGAAATTAAGTAGGTTTTCTTTTTTTTGTGTTAAACTGAAATGCAATCTGTGCTTTTTTAAAGATGTTAATTGGCATATTAGTTTAAATAAGCAACTGCGTACAACCTCGTGAAGTCTAACTAATCAAAACCGAAAGAGACGCTTTGCCGGTTTTTACTTATTCTATAAGTGATTATGGTTTTCCAAAAAAGGATTTGTTAGTTTTCAGATCAAGGTCTTTTTTCCCATGAAAGCAAACATTTACATTTCTGAAACCACTTTCAGAGTTTGTTCACCTCAGAAGATGGTGAAGTAGATAAATATAGACTTGCTCATTAGCTACAGATGTTTTTCAGTTCAGTTTTCAAATGAGAAAAACGACGAAATGGGGATTTCTAAGGAACGTTTGTTTCAGTCTGTGGGTAAAACGGGTCAGCCTACAGCTGTGCCTCTCCGTTCTCACCCCAGTCTAGTCAAGCTGACGTTCTTCAAACACAAAATGTTGAAGAATTAGAGATTGCAAACAAGATTAATATTTCATTGGCATTTATTTATTTCAAAAAGCCAGACTGCTGTGAATCAAAACTTTTGGGAACCTCCCAGAAAGTTTTTGGTCTTGTACCAGTTTTTATTTTTAGGCAGGGCAGTGACGCATGCCATCTTTTCACGTGAAATGAAGCTTAATTAAGTGAGAATGATCGTGCATTGAACAACAGGCCCAGGGCCGGTAGCTGTGCGTGGTGTCGGGGAGTCGGAGCCCCTGAGACTTTTTTCCTCTCAAAGACACACCCAAAAATTCTTTACGAAAAGATCAGTTTTACTTCCTCTTTCTGCCACATGTGAAACCCCAGTTGTTGGAGTAAATCGGTCCCCCTGTGACAGTACGGGGGGGTGGCGCCATCGGCCCACTTACAGCGCCTTGCAGAATGTTTCGAACCCTTGCACCAAGTCTTTGCCTTTGGTCGCTTTCAAGCGCGCAGTCACGACACTTTAAGGCGTCGGCCTAAATCTGTCCTGTTCACAACCTGCCCCCCGCAGTCGACACCGAAGGGAAGAAGAAAGAAGAAGGTAAGTGGACAAGTAATACGAATGAGAACTGGGACTCTGGGCTGTGGGGAGCCAGCAGTCCCAGTGAGGTGTCGGCTAGCTCTAGCAGGAATCCGCACGGCAGCACCTGCTTTCTGCGCTGGGGCTGCGGATGTTTTTGTGAACGGTGCGCATAAAAACCCCAGCGGGATGTGCTTTTGTTTTCTTCCTTTTTTCGGTCCAGGCCAGTCGGAGTTTGCCCGGTGGTGTGAGGCGTACATGCCCCCAGGGAGGCGCTAGGCGCTCGCGGCACGGGGATGGACCGCGGCGGCTGCCGGAGAGCCGGTTCTGGCCCGCGGGCCCCCCAGCACCACCCGCACAGGCCCGCTTCCAGGACGGGCTACCCGGAGAGGCCCGGCGACAGGGAGGGTGGCTTCGGGCACAGGCCTGGTCGTTACGGCGACGCCTACGCGCCCGGTCGCTATGGTGACGAGCGCTACCCACAGCCGGACCCTAGGGGGAAGCACTGGCCCGTGCAGGACCACCGGGCCGGACACCATGCCAGCAGCCCCCTGCCCAGAGCCGCCGTCGCCCCTGGATACTGCAGCACCCCCATTCCCAGGGGCTCCTACAGCACAGAGAGGCTGCCCGACAGGTCACAGCATAAGGGCTCTCTGCTGGTTTAGAGATTTCTGAAACATGAAATGGCTGATATCGTGACGGACGCGAAACCTGAGAATGTTGGCTCGCTGCTACTACTATATCTTACAGCTGATAGAGCTGTTGCTGCCACTATTACTGCAAATTAAAAGCTGCATGCACTCCACTGAAAGAGGTAGATACTGTTAGGAATAACAAACCCTTCCAGGTTACCTGGTGAGGTGTGAGTGCAGCTTCTGGGCTCTTTCCAGAAGTCACCAGCACCTGGGTACTCTCTCCACACCCTGACCTGACATCAGTTCAGCACATGTTCAGCCTCTGGAGGGCAGCTGGGTACAGAATGTTCCGGAGGAGCTAAATTTAGAGTTGCTGTGTAGGTGCATTCACCTTGCTTGGCTTCAGCCCTGCATAGCTGCAATAACAAACTGCTAACAAAGCACTCCGGGGAGTTGCAGACAGTTTGCTGGAAGACGTCTTTTATTTGTTCCCGGAAACGAGAGTCTTTAGTCTTGTGGTCTAAGACGTCATCGCTTCTCACTGGTGTGGTGTAACGCTGTCACAGAGAGGGAACGAGCTCAAGACAGTTCGACTCACCGAACGGCTCTCGCCCATTGTTTCTGCCTCTCCTGTGCACAGGAAGGGAGCTGCAGTCAGGAAGCCTTGATCAGAGCTCCCCAGGCAGGGGGAGCAGATCTCTCTGTGGCAGAACGGCCCTAGACGGGCCGCTGTTCGGCGTTTCTTTAATGCATGTTAATTAATAGAGCAGCAGTTCGCCATTAAGCACTGTTAAATAACTTGTCTTTATCAAGAATTTATTTGGCTGATTATTTTCTTCAAAGTGACATGATTGTTGTTGCAATCTCTGGTTCATTTTCCGAACGTATTTCGGTGCCGGTTTGTGCAGTTGGGTTTGCTGGGTGCAGTGATGCCCTCTAGTTCAGGTTCAGGCAACCAGCAGCCTACTCAGTATTCCATACTGTTTCCCAGTCTGTTTCCCAGAGTTCATGCATTGAAGTGTGCGACTGCCTCTTGTCTTTTAGGCAGGTCTATGACTACCCTCCTTACAACTCCCTGCCCTGGGCCCCCAGGGGGGATTTCGGCTACTATGATCATGGCTATCACCAGTGGTACCACCCACACACAGGTAGTAAACTCATGTGCCCGTCTGTGCAAGAACGCTTTTCCATTCTTAGCTGGCTTGCTGCCCCTTTTGAGTTCTCAGTGGCAAACATCTTTAATGGTTCTTGTGAAAGTACAGTCTTGTCTTCATAAAGTGTGTGAGCTGCTGTGGCTTAGATTGTAACTCAACATTTTCCTGAAACTGCTGCTTGTGTATGAATATCCGATCTTCAGAGACGTTCTCGCACATGCTCTGTATCTTACACCCTGGTCTTCTGTCTCACTGTGGTTTCAAAGCTCTGGGTTTCAGATGCAGTTCACTGGAGGGTGGTAAGAGTGTGTTGTCTTTATCTGAGAAGGTGGTGGTTTAACAGAGAAGCCTCAGGTGTTCCCTGAGAAGCATGGACAGTGCAGGACATTTTCTCCAGCTGTCTTATCTCTTGTGGTGAAAGCCATGTTGATGTGTTACCTTCAGTACAAGGATGGATTGCCAGACACCGTGGTCGGGTAGTTTTTTTGTAGTGCAGCCCCCCAGATCTTAGGTTTTGCTCTCAGGTTAAGGAGGCGGGATAAACGTCTGTGTGGAGTTTGCGTATTCCCCCGTCCATATGGGTCTTCCCTGGTTTCTGCAGTCCCTGGAATCCTGTCCCAGCCATAACCCCTCCTTGTGTGTGCTGGGTCAGCCTCTGGGTTGCCACCACCCTCTACAGGAAGGAGCATATCCCCTTTGTCACTTTGCAGTGATATTATATGAGCATTTTGTTTAGTCACTTAGCTGGAGCTTTTATGCAGAAGGGCCATGTTGCGATTTCACGGGGGGGTGAACGGCGCTCCTCGAGACAGGCCTGTGATGTTTCGTCTCAAGGGCGGCGAACAGGGGGGGGCTCTGTCACTGAGACACGGCGTGAACCGGGGACACGAGAGAGGAGCTTGAACTTTTAAACCATCGAATGCAAAAAAAAAAAAGAAAAGGTTTAGCTGAAAAGCAGCTTGTGTTTACGTGTTTTTTATATATATATATGCAAGGATGTGCTAATAAAGTCAAGAAAAGTCAGAGTGTTTCAAACCCTGTGATTCTGTCCAGAGGCTGACAGGTGGGCTCCCAGCGTCCCTCCACAGGACCCCTGGAGGCAGAGCCCAGGCCAGGGGTGGAGGCACGAGCCGGACTGGAGCAGCCCCTCTTTCCCAGAGCCGCCCACCGGCAGGTCAGTAGGGCCCTGCAGACCGGACCCTGGCAGGTCGTTCCGGCCCATGTGCTCCCTGGAATGAGTGGCTTATGCTTTGCTCTGTCTGTTTGGTTCTTGAGACTTTACTGCAGGATTCTCGGCACACGGGGACGAATGGTCTAGTGTGCATGACGGTAGCAGAGTGTGGTCTGGAGAGAAGTACTGTTGAGTCCAATATCAGTTTGCTATTCCTTGGACAGTGTTTGGGAAATCTTAAATAATTCATTCTTGCAAAACCCTGAAAATTTGCTTAGAATACTGAAAAAAAAAAATTAAGGGATGCTTGTCTTTTGAACCAATGGCATTTTTTAATAAAAACGTTTTGTAGGGGGGAAAAAAAAAGAAAATCAACAACCCAGAATGGCAGTGATTTGTGTTCTTGGATTTACAAGAGCGCAGCAGGTTGGGTGATATTAACACAGGGCCCTCGACTGTCGGATTGTTCATGGCAGCCGGCTGAGCCTGCCAGGCCAGTACCTCTCTGCCAGGGCTTGAAACCTGTCTTTTCACTCTGTGTTCCTTCCAGCTACGACCAGCGCCACAGAAACCCCCGGCAGGACTACAGCACTCCGGGGAGCCCACACCATCCCAACGGAGACGTTATCCGGGAGAACAGAGAGCGTTTTGGAGAGGTGAAGCTCAAGTAGACCAGCGAATAAAAATGAATGCCAAATGCCACAAAAAAAAAAAAAAAAACAGCCCAACACTCGCAGGCTTGGCGCACAAGTCCACACCCGCTGCCTCCACTACAAAGCTGTATTCTTCCCAGCTCACACCTGGCCTGCATGATGTGTTGTTTACGTATTCAGTCCATCTGAGGGAAAGGTTATTGCTGAGTCATTCCTGTTTTGCCTTTCGGTCTAACTTAGAAAGATAAGTCGGTCGGAAGCTGTTATGAACAGATCTGCCAGCTCTAAACGGGTGTTTACTAAGGACAGAAGAAAGGTCACAAATGAGAGAAGCCCTTTGGCCCATCATGCCCTGCTTGGTGGTTAACAGCTAATTGATCCAAGACTCTCATCCAGCCACTGCTGGAGCTCAGCAGTGTGAGCCTGGTCAGGACCTGGAGGGGAGACTCGTGGGAAAGCTAAGGTTGCTGCTGGAAGAGGTGTTAGTGGGGCCAGTAGGGGGCGCTCACCTTGCGGTCTGTGTGGGTCCTAGTGCCCCAGTATAGTGACGGAGCTCCCCTTTGGTGTTCATGGTTCTTACCTCCTCGTAGTTTCCCCTGGTGCCGGTTGGCTTGTGTTCCTCCTGGAGAAGTCCGCTGGGCTGGTCTTGTCCTCCTGCAGTCTTCTCGGTTCAAGACCGAAGAGGTCGGGTTCCTTCTGGGACGGTCCCTCAAGCTCCGCCTCTCTCCTTCTCCCTCAGTTCCCTCCCGGCGGGTCGGGGAGCCTGGCGCGATCAAGGGCCTCGGGCTTGTCGTCGAGTGGCTACGAGCTGAGCCAGTACATCACCGACGGCACCGAGCACAGCGACCTGCTCCCATGCTCTCTCTGGGGCGACTCGCACACAGGTGGGCTCGGGTGGGCCCAGGTAGACTCTGGTGAGTGAAAATAAAACTACCCATAATTTTTCATGAGGCTGCATCTCTCTTGCAAAATTAAATCCTTTCCCAGTTGCTCAGTGCCGCTGTGGAGTGTGGGGCACCCCAGTTTATCTGTAAACACCGGAGTGACCTGCCAGGGAGTTGGGGTGACTCTCCCCAGCCCGCCACCCGATTGCTTCAGACCGAAATCGGAGAAACGGGCTGAAATCACAAATCACAGTTAAACGTCTGTGATACTCTCATGCACTTGAACTTTTCTGCTTTTATTAGTTCATTTATGTTTAATTATCCAAATCTTTGTCACGTCAAATTTTTCCGAATGTGAATAAGTATATTTTTAGAGACGATCTCTCGAAGAGAAATATGCAGCTTGTACTGTATGCGTGTACGTGTTTTTCGTAAACGCATTCCTGAACTGAGCCAGAAACTAGGTCAGTCTGTTACCTGTCGCAGGTGGGTTGATCTGCTCAGATTTACATTGAACTGTATGTATTCAAAACAGTGAGGCCTTTTATTTCAGTCATTTTGTTTTGTTGCAATATGATTGCAAACCGCTTCAATAGATTTTACCTGGCACGGAGAGTTTGGATGCTGGGATTTGGTTACCAACACGTATGCCTCACAGCAGTTCCTCCGATGTCTCCCTGCAAGACTTTGACTTGCTCCCTCCAATACAGGGTCCTCTCTCTTGTGGGAGCTCTGGGGCGTCATGCTTGACATCTGTGGGGGTCCTTTAAACACTCTGTTACCCCGACTGCAACATGTCACTAGAACCTTATGGAATTGAGAGCAGCTCCCGTCTTCTTCGAGCTGCCCTGTGTGGTGGGAATGAACCGTTTCTCTCGGGGTGTTTCAACGTTGTCACTCTCTCCCTTCCGTCCCCTGTCAGACGGCGCAGACGTCCCCCAGCTCTCCGCCCCCCTGAAGTTCTCCCTGCCTCACGTGCGGGCCGGATTTGGGCCCGCGGGCCAGCTGGTC